TATATATATATATATATATATATATACACACATATACATATATATACTTTGCTAGGCACGGTGACTCATGCCTGTAATCCCAGCATTTTGGGAGGCTGAGGGCAGTGGATCATTTGAGGTCAGGAGTTTGAGACCAGCCTGGCCAACATGGTGAAACCCTGTCTCTATGAAAGGTAGAAAAATTAGCCAGGTGTGATGGTGGGCACCTGTAATCCCAGCTAGTTGGAAGGCTGAGGCAGGAGAATCTCTTGAATCCAGGCGGCAGAGAGAGGTTGCAGTGAGCCGAGATCACACCACCGCACTCCAGCCTGGGCAACAAAGCAAGACTCTTGTCTCAAAAAAAAAAAAAAAAGAACATACTAAGTGGTGAGATGACAGGTGCCTTCCATTAGATAGTTTAATACACTAGTGACTTTCCCTCATTTTATTCCTGTGTAGCAAATGAGAAAACTGTGGCTCAAGAGCATAAGCTATTTGAACACAGCTAGTAAAAAGCAGAGGTAGAGCCCTGATTGAGAAAGAGAAATCACTCCCAATGCATAGACTCCTGACAGGTTATTTATTACTGAATTATTCTGCATATCACCTTCTTCTTCTTCTTTTTTTTTTTTTTTTTTTGGAGACAGAGTCTTGTTCTGTTGTCCAGGCTGGAGTACAATGGTGTGATCTTGGCTCACTGCAACCTCTGCCTCCTGGGTTCAAGAGATTCTCGTGCCTCAGTTTCCTAAGTATCTGGGATTACAGGTGCCTGCCACCACACCCAGCTAATTTTTGTATTTTTAGTAGAGACAGGGTTTCACCATGTTGACCAGGCTGGTCTCGAACTCCAGACCTCAGGTGATTCACCCACCTCAGCCTCCCAAAGTGCTAGAATTAGAGGTGTGAGCCACCATGCCCAGCTGCATATCGCTTTCTTATCGGATACTCCGTATGTAGTCTGGTTACCAAGAAAGAGTCATGGTGATCAAGTTTTTTTGAAAAAACTACTTGTCATGTGTGGACACCAAACCATTCTTTTCAGCAGAGTATTGGAGTGATATGTATAATAATGTGGTATGCATTGGGGATATAGCTGTGAGCAAGACACACTTGATCCATGCCCTCAAGGACCTTTGGTCTAGCCATCTAGTTCAGTAGTTGGCAGACTTTTTCTGTAAAGGACCGGACAGTGAATATTTTAGGGTTTGCAGGCCCTATGTTCTTAGTTGCAAATACTGAATTCTGCCGTTGTGATACAAAAGTAGCCACAGACACTATGTAAATAAGTGAGTGTGGCTGTGTTCCAATAAAACTTCCTTACAAAAACAGTCAGTGGACTTGATTTGGCCTGCAGGTTGTAATTTGCCGACTCTTGGTCTGGTTCATTTGTTTCTTGGTCTCTGTCTCTCTTTCGTGCTCTTATATTCACAGCAGCAATTTTCATAAGAGTCCCATTGATTGATTTGTTACAGTTATGTAAGGTAAGATAGTAGAAAAACTGAATCTTGTACTACTGATAAAAGCTAGCTCTTGTATTTTCTTTTGCTCTTTTATCCAGGACATTTTATTTCCTTACATCGAAAAAAATGTTAAAGAGTATCTGCAGACACATTGGGAAGAAGAGGAGTGCCAGCAGGATGTCAGTCTTTTGAGGAAACAGGTTGGGACATTTCTATCTTACACTCCCAAGTGTCTTAGAAATGAGGGTACCTGAAGATTTAGAATATGCTCTGAGCATATTGTAAACTAAGTGCCTTGGTTTGTTAGGGGATGGAGGCTGCGGTGACAGTGAGTTGCCTGCTTAGGAATTCACAGTACAATTAAAGGCTGGATTGTGTTTGTTGTTTCTAGAGTTGCTCTTTTTTTTTTTTTTTTTTTTTTTTGAGATGGAGTCTCACTTTGTTGCCCAGGCCGGAGTGTGGTAGTGTGATCTTAGCTCACTGCAACCTCTGCTTCCTAGGTTCACGAGATTCTCCTGCCTCAGCCTCCTGAGTAGCTGGGACTACAGGTGCCCACCACCATGCCCAGCTAATTTTTTGTATTTTTAGTAGAGATTGGGTTTCACCATATTGGACAGGTTGGTCTAGAACTCCTGACCTCAAGTGATCCACCCTCCTCAGCCTTCCAAAGTGCCCAGCACACCCAGAAAGGACTTAAGTTTGCAAATACATGATATTTTTGTGCAGTTTAAATAGCTCTAGAAAAAAGCAACTCTAGGCCAGGTGCGGTGGTTCACGCCTGTAATCCCAGCAATTTGGGAGGCCAAGGTGGGTGGATCACTCAAGGTCAGGAGTTCAAGGCCAGCCTGGCCAAAATGGTGAAACCCTGCCTGTACTAAAAATACAAAAAATTAGCTGGGTGCAGTGGCGGGCACCTGTATCCCAGCTCCTTAGGAGGCTGAGGCAGGAGAATCGCTTGAATCTGGGAGGCAAAGGTTGTAGTGGGCCTCGATGGCCACTGCCCTCCAGCCTGGGCTACAGAGCAAGACACTGTCTCAAAGAAAAAAGTCCGTTCTGGGTAGAATGCAAATGGTTTTGAGCAGTCTCTATATTTTTCATTAATATCTCTGTATTAGTCTGTTTTCACATTGCTGTAAAGAAATAACTGAGACTGGGTAATTTTTAAGAAAAGAGGTTTAATTGGCTCACAGGTCTACAGGCTATACAGGAAACACAGCAGCATCTGCTTCTGGGGAGGCCTAAGGAAGCTTCTAATCATGATGGAAGGCAAAGCGGGAACAGGTGTATCACGTGGTCAAAGTCAGGAACAAGAGAGTAAGGGGGGAGACACTATATACTTTAAAACAACCAGAACTCATTATCTCGAGGAGAGCATCAAGGCGGATGGAACTAAATAAACCATTCACAAGAAATCCACCCCCCATGATCAGTCACCTCCCACTAGGCCTCACCTCCAACATTGAGGATTACATTTCAATGTGCAGTTTGGGTGGGGACACACATCCAAGCTATGCCATTCTCTGAATGACAATACCTCATCATTTTGCACTCCCTCCTGCCTCACTGCAAACCCCTGCTGCCCCCTCTACAGTGCTCCCCACACCTATACTCCCCCTCCAGACTCCTCACCCCAGCTCATTCTGGCCCAGCCCTCATACCTGCTTTGGTCTGCTGTGCCTTGTTCTGCTCTCTTCTCCCAAGTCATCAGGCTGTCTTTTCCTTCCACATTGTGTGCTATGGAACTCCTGCTCTTGTTTTTCTTTAAAATTGTTTCAGTGGCTTACATGGTCTACAGAGCTAACTCACTGGCAGTTATTTTCTATGTTGGATACTGTGGAATGCTCTCTATAGATGTTTCACTGTTAGGAATTAGGATTGGAAATATAGTTATGTCCTTTGGGTATGGAATATTTGGGTTTGTTGAATTTTCTGGACAACTCAGGGTTAATCTGAAATACAGTAAGTCCTTCCATAATGTTTTTAGATTCTTGGAAACTGACTTTAAGTGAAATGACACTTAAATTTCAATATTCAATTTTAAACCAACTATAACAAAACCAATTTTTTTTTTCACTTAATGTTATAACAAAATGATGTTGAAGGAAATAACATTATTTGAAAAGGTCATGTCACTTGAAGTCACAGGTTCCAAGACCCTATGATGATGTTAAATGAGGACTTACTGTACTTTCCTCCCTTACCTTTTTTTTGTTGTTGAAACATACATACATAGTCCCCCATTACTGTGTGTGTATATATATATATGTATATATGTATCTTTAGAAATTGCATTCCATTGTCACAAAGTCATTGTTCTAAATTGCTGTTAGGATTTTTGCAAGATATGAGAGATTACAGGAGACTGAATGTGAACCAACCTTATTACTTCACTAGCTTCTTTTCACTGAATCCCAGGCATAAACTAATTTATGAGATTTTCCTTGTTTCTTTCTCAGTTAGTTAAAGTGCAGAGAAAATGATCAGATTGAGTTAAAGTCCTGGTTTGTTGATCCGAGTAGTAAATCAACAAATCAAGTCTTACTCTATCATTATGTGCTGTCTCTTCTCATATACAACATGGCTCTCAGTTTAAATTTCAGCTTTTAGCAAAAGGAAAGGCAATGTAAATTTATTAACCCAGGTTCTTTTAGGAATCATTTTTATCAGTTCCAAAGTATATGATGTTTCAATTTGCAGCCATACTAGGACTAATGATGGAGAAAGTTGTTCTGCTGGGGTTTTGGGTCTTGTTTTAAATGATCCTTTTTTGAATAAGCAAAAAACAAACATCATGTTGTTTCTGACTTAAAGGCTGAAGAGGATGCCCACCTCGATGGGGCTGTTCCTATCCCTGCAGCGTCTGGGAGTGGAGTAGATGATCTGCAGCAGATGATCCAGGCCGTGGTAGATAATGTGTGCTGGCAGATGTCCTTGGATCGAAAGACCACTGCACTCAAACAACTGCAGGGCCACATGTGGAGGGCGGCATTCACAGCTGGGCTCATGAAAGCAGAGTATGTGCGCGAGTCAGCCTAAACGTTTCACCAGTCCCAAATCCAAACATGTTTTTCACTAGTCCTCTCTTCCCAGTGTAAGTCACATGATTTGTAAAATAGATAAAAATCCACATTCTTTTTAGGCTAACAAGTGAGTTTTGTTTCATTTTTGAAAAACTGGGCTAAAACATTTCAGCTGACTAGATTACCCGCATCTGCCTGTCTGGTCTTGTGGGTTGCTTCAAGGACTTTCAGTCTCCATTTAAAACAGCTTCCTAGAAAATGGTGACTTCCTTGAATGAAGTCATATTTGATTCTGAGTACACAAGTGGCAGCTCTGTTGGGTCGCTTCCCTGGACTGTTAGTTACCTGCTTTTTGCTCTATGAGACATAGGAAATTTTGTGCCCTATGAGTACCATTGAGGTTACTCAGAAGATGTCTGCACTATCATGTTCTTCTTTGCTTTTTTGAGTAACTTCAACAGATTCTTTGAGTCTTGGTTATGGAGTTCCTGATAGCAATCTGACTGAGGAGACTTTTGAGTATTATACTACTGATAAAGTATTGATTGATTCACACAGGGTCCCACGCTCTTACCCAGGCTGGAGTGCAGTGACATGATCATGGCTCACTGCAGCCTTGACCTCCCCTAGCTCAGGTGATCCTCCCACCTCTGCCTCCCAAGTAGCTGGGACTAGGCATGTGCCACCATGCCTAGCTAATTTTTGTATTTTTGTAGAGATGGGGTTTTACCATGTTGCCCAGGCCGGCCTCAAACTTTTGGGCTTTAGCGATCTGCCTGCCTTGGCCTCCCAAAGTGCTGGGGTTACAGGCATAAGCCACCATACCTGGCCTATTTTTTTTTTTTTTAAGAGCTGGAGTTTTGCCCTGTGATCCACACTGGAGTGCAGTGGTGCCATTATAGTTCACTGTAGCCTTGAACTCCTGGACTTCAAGTGACCCTCCCACCTCAGCCTACTGATTAACTGGGACTACAGGCAATACCCACCATACCTGGCTAAACAACTTTTTTGTAGAGGTATGGTCTTGCTATGTTGTCCATACCATATCGCTGAGAAATTCTATTTGTTTTTTTGTTTTTGATTATGCTTTGAGACAGAGTCTTGCTCTGTCACCTGGGCTAGAGTGCAGTGGCACAATCTCAGCTCACTGCAACCTCTGCCTCCTGGGTTTAAGTGATTCTTCTGTCTCAGCCTCCAGAGTAGCTGGGATTACAGGTGCGTGCTACCATGCCCGGATAATTTTTGTATTTTTAGTAGAGATGGGGTTTATTGACGAGGCTGATCTTGAACTCCTAACCTCAAGTGGTCCACCTGCCTCAGCTTCCCAAAGTGGTAGGATTATAGGCATGAGCCACCACTCCCGGCCTGTTTTTGTTTTTGGTGACAGAGTCTCACTCTGTTGTCCAGGATGGAGTGCATTGCTGCAATCTTAGCTCACTGCAACTTCCGATTCCCGGGTTCAAGCAATTCTTGTACCTCAGCTTCCTGAGCAGCTGGGAGTACAGGTGCATGCCACCCCACCTGGCTAATTTTTTGTATTTTAGTAGAGACAGGGTTCGCCATGTTGCCCAGGGTGGTCTCGAGCTCCTGAGCTCAGGGCAGTCCACCTGCCTTGGCCTCCCAACATGCTAGGATTTCAGGCATGAGCTACCGTGCCCAGCCTGCTGAGAAATTCTAATAAGACTTTGCCTCTAAGGATTTTAGGCCACTGCCAGTTGTAAACCCTAAGATCCAAGAGTGTTTCCAGCTGCCTATATTTCTTTTATATTTCTGTCAAATGAGATGTCATCTTTATGTATTTTACAAGGAGCTTCTACCTTTTAAAGGATGGACTGGAATTGCAGGATATGCCAGTGATCTGGGAATATCAGCCAGGTTCACTTTGTACAGCACTCAAAAAAGTGGAGACAGGAGACTGTGCACCCAGTAGTTAGCCCTCACTTCTCTGGGTCTTGGTTCCTTAATTATACAACTAACTGCTGAAGACAGGAAAAATCCTGTCTCTATGAATGTAAACTAGTACTCAGAATAATATAATTTGTGCACTGGTTTTGAATACATTGATCTCTTTCCTTCAATTAGCGCATCATATTAAGCATGCATAATATAAAGCAGAAGACTCCTCTGACATTTTCCAGGTAATCTTTTAAAGATGACTGGTTCTACAACCCAGGTTCCTTGTGCTTATATTTTCATCTTTTTCCTGTGATGTTAATTTCCTCCATGGATATGGAAGACACTGTAGAATTGGTAAAAGAGACAGAGTGTCAGGGGTCAGAAAAAGACACCTTTTGCTGACTGGTTAATGTGAGATAGTACAAGTCTCTCAAATGATTTGTTATGTACTTTTTTCCTCATACAGTAAAATGTTTTCTTAGTTCTCAAGAAATGCAGGCCAGGTGCAGTGGCTCACACCTGTAATCCCAGCACTTTGGGAGGCTGAGCGGGTGGATCACTTGAGTCCAGCAGTTTGAGACCAGCCTGGGCGACATGACAAAACCCATCTCTACAAATCATTAAAAAAAAATTAGCTGGGCGTGGTAGTGCATGGCTGTAGTCCCAGCTACCTGGAAGGCTGAGGTGGGAGAATCACTCAAGCCCAGGAGGTGGAGGTTGCAAACAGCTGAGATCACGCCACTGCACTCCAGCCTAGGCAACAGAGCAAGACCCTGTCTCGGGGGAAAAAAAAGTAATTCCATTTTCTAGCTAATCATAAGCTTATAGCTTTGAGCCTTCAAACTTTGTTTTGATTGTTTTGGGTGCAGATCTTTTTAAAAGCATTTCCATGCTTTCCTAAAGCACAGTGGACATGAGTTAACCTTTTCTTGTCATGAAGAACATCAAAGATTATATTATATTATTGCTGTTTGCTTTTTTGAGTTCCTTGGGAATTTAAAAAATACTTTCCCATTTCATCCTTTTATCTATAATCCCTTTTTACTGTCACTAGTGGCTGTTCAAAACAATCTTTTTTTCCACATAGACGGTTGCTTCTAATCTGCTGTGAGCCTGGGACTCTAGCAGCACATTTATTAGAACTGCAGGAGTTTGTAGTCTCAGGGAGCTGCTTCTCAGGTACCATTTGGGCACAAATAGAGAATCATATGGCATCTATTATGACAGGTTTTCATCTGGCTAGATGAGGTGTTCCTGTATTTTAACTTGGTGGTCTTCCCTGTAGGTTCTTTGCAGATGTAGTTCCAGCAGTCAGGAAATGGAGAGAGGCTGGAATGAAGGTGTACATCTATTCTTCAGGGAGTGTGGAGGCACAGAAACTACTATTTGGGCATTCTACAGAGGGGGATATTCTTGAGGTAGGTTACTTAGTTTACTTGGTTTTTTGATGTGATCAAAGCATGAAATAATGACTGTTAAAGGGAAACCAATGGAAACTAATGGAATACTTTTTTGAGGGGTTGCTTAAAATTAGGTAAGAATAAAATAATCATTTTTAATTATACTGTATTTACAGTTTCTTCTATATAAGGTTGTTACATAAAGTTTATTCTGTGTTTTGAAAAACAAAATCCGTTAGGATGCAAAATAGGATTGTACACAGTCCGGAGAAATATATAAAGAGTTTTTGAATATAGCTGAGGACAAGGTCCACTCATTTGTTTCTGGCTCTTTGAAGAGATACAGATTTTATTTCAGAAGAAACAGCATTATTATAGGAGAACCAGGCACATTTTAAAATTTAGTGATAAGGTCACCTGTTACATTTCATGTACAGGAGAAAATTCTTGCAAGCCTCTCTGTGTCAGCATCCCTGCGCCCCCTGGAGGATGGGGTGATCAATGAAAGAAGCGACTACATTTAGGGTTTTAAAAAGAAGTGCTGATTAGCTGAATATAGACCAGACTTCCTATAGGTAACTTGGAATATAAACCGAACTTACAATAGATTACTTACAATAGGTAACTAGACCAGATACTTTTTAAAATGAATATTTATTGAGCCCCTACCATGTGCAAAGAACACTTTAGCTTTGGAGTTTGTTGTATTCTAATTTTAGTATTTTCCTACTTTCTGTCTTATTTTTAAACCAGATGTTAAATAATGAAACCCTTAAATCCTTGGTGACTGTTCTTTTACTACAGAGACAACTTTTCTCACAATCATGACAGGACAAAAGCACCTACTGAGTTCACTAATAAAAATTGTACT